GTGTGTGTGTGTCTGTGTGTGCCCTGTGAAGGACTGGTGTCCTGTCCAGGGTGTACCCTGCCTTGCACCCATTGCTTGCAGGGATAGGCTCCAGCTCCCCCGCAACCCTGAATTGGAAGAAGCGGTTAGAAACCAGATAGATGGAATAACCATGCAATGTCAATCATGGTTACATCTAACTTTGAAATGGTTATAGCTGGACTGAATTGGTCTCTGGCTGATCCATGATGGTTCATGTTCCTCCTGGGTCAGCTTTCTTAGTTTTAAGGGATTTTTCCTTTACACGACCTTAGGCCTTTAGAGAAGAGCTGAAACTGCTGGTTTCTGTTGTTGGAGTCTGACTGGCCTCTCTGCATTGCTGCTCTGCACCAGAATAATTCAGCTTTGCTAAGCCTGTCTTTCGTCTTTTACAAGGAAGAAACAAGTAAATAATAACGTTTCTCTTCCAAATTTCCAAGTCTGCAGATAAAAAAAAATTATGCATGAACTGATATTCATTATAGCTAATCTGCTAGACTGGCTTCCTTATGGGCTCAATTTAAATATAATTTCTCATGTATTTATATTATTTCATACCTTTTACCCTTCTCTCTTGAATCATTGAGTGATTTTAAATATATTTGTGAATGATTATTAGTTTTCAGCTATTCTAGGATTAGTCATAAGAGATTGTACCTTAAAGAACCTATTTTCCACCATAATTGGAAACAGAAAATTGCAGCTGTAGTTAAAAAAAACCCATGCAGTGTTATAATCTAGTCATCTGTCCCTAGGACACCACAGAGAGCTGTTCTCATGTTTAAAATATGAAGTGCCCAGATATTACTTTCAAAAGAAAAGCAAACTGAAGAATGAACTTGTTTCTTAAAAGCTTTGCCAGGAGCTGTCATTCTGAAGTTTTCAGCCACTATTTGCTAACTGGAAAACCTAAACATGGGAAAGCTGCTGCTTGCGAGAAATGCTGTGTGTATTAACTGACCTCATAAAGCAGAACACCCGTGCAGGGATAACCAGGACTAGGAGCTCTCCACTCAGCAATTAAGCAGCCAAACAATTTTTTTGACAATTTTTTTGTGGTCATGGGGGAGCAAGACAGGGGACACCAGCCCATCACTGGGCACACAGAGACCACACACACACACCAGGCCCAATTTCCCCAGAAGTCAATTAACTTACCACTGTGTTTTCAGCCTGTGAGAGCACATTCAAACTCCATACAGACAGCACCCTGGGTCTGAATTTGAACCCAGGGCCCCAGTGCTGCAAGACAGCAATGCTGACCACTGCACCAGCATGCTGCCCTTTGGGACAACATCTGAAAGGCAATTTAGCCCCCACATCATCGAATATCTCCATGTCCATGTTTGCTAAATGCTTGGTGTTAAGTATTTAAAGGGTCTCAAAGATGTAGTTCTTTCTAGGAATCCCTAAATATCATTACTAATGTTAATTACAATGGAAATTATCCTGTTTGAACTGTTCACGCATCTTCACATTCTGGAACCTGACAGGTCCTATATAACTTGTCTCTCACCAGCAGTGTATTGATTTTCTCATAAGACATTTTACCTGCAAGCCTACAAGACCCCGTGGTTAAAAGACAAGATTACAGAATAGCTGTTAAAAGCAGTGGGACTCATTTCTCCATAAATAGCAACATAATGTTCCTATTTTTGAAACAAGCAGAGTTGTCATCGTTACAGGAGGTTCTGAACTGACCAATGAAAAGCTGTAGAAGACATTTCTGAAAACAAAGTTGCCCATGACTGAATGTTAAAATCAAGGTTTTCCTTTGAGGTCAAAGAGGAAAGATCCACGTGAGTTGAGGCACAGTCTTTGGATTTTTATATACAATAAGTATGATCCCAGTAGTTCTGAAGGCTTGCCCATTAGTCCACGAACAAAAATCTTTCAAAATGCATGATACTGTATCTCCTAACAGATCTCTAAAAATAACTTATCAGGATGGATGCCAAGCAGATGTCTTCTCAGCTCAAGAGGCTTTTATTACAGGAGAAAGGTTTCCACTTCATTGTTGGGTATTTCAGTGAACTGTGTTTAAAAGACACAAACCTTTTTCCTTACCAGGACTGTTTTATTAAACATCTCCTTTGAAGAAGTATTGACATTCCTAATGTCATCCCTATATACACAGACCACATGACACAGTACACTAAAAATGGCAAATGTATCAGATCTTATAAGACAGCAGTCTTGTCCTGAAAGCAATTCCATCTGCAGTAGTAGGTCCTATTATGGAAATGAGACCAGAGCATCTAAAGAAACCCAACACCTATTGCAGAACAAATTCACCAATCTAGGAGGAAGATGACAAAATCTGTTTTGTAATACCTGCACTGACATTTTATCGAACAGGCATGGCAGTGGTAGATTCATTACACTGCTTGACATGATCATCATCGTAAGCGCTGGTCTGCAGGAATCTCCTGCGAAGCAGACGGTCTAGTAAAGAGGGCACCAGAAGCGCGATGCAAGCTGCACATCTGTGATGCATGCTTTGCTCCAGGTTGCAGGTGCTGTCTTGTTGGGAGCTATCACATTCCACTGGCCTCTGTGCCCCAGGTGCTATCCCTCATACCTTCAATGCAACTCATTTCTGGCATGTAGGGTATCCACAGCAAAACAGACTGAGATGAATTCTTGTCATAAAAAGTTGTTTTACATGAGCTGTCTATTGTCCGTCTGGAATGTCGTCACATCTACTGTAGACGAGCCCACAGGAAAGACAGTAAGTGACGTTCCAGGATCTACAGTATATACCGCCCTGCAGTCAGGCTGGAGAAGCTCTGTCGTGACTAGACACTCCTGCCTCTGCTATTGTACTCGGGCCTCTCTGCCGATCTCCGCAGGATGTCATGATTCCTGGTCTTGCAGATCGTGGCCTGTCAATCACTGACGAATCCTGTGTGGCTGTAATATCTTGCCAGGTTAGAAACTGCAGACTGTGAACACCACAGACAACAAGCAACTACAGTCCACGTGGCCTCTATCATACCAGAGGCCCAAAGGCGTTAGCAAGACATTTTGGTTCTTTTCTGTAACATAACTTTTTACTATTGCATAACATAGTGTTTATGCAATAGTAAAAGCAGGGGTGCCCAACCTTTTTTAATGTAAGATCTACTTTTTCATTTGCCTGTCCAGCCCGATCTACCAGCGTGAATTTGAAACTCTGATATGGGGAAAACAGACTGTGGGCCCATCAGTACAATAACGATACCCATCACTAAAATGACAGCAAATAAAAGCAAGTGACTCAGGCTACAGTGAACCAGTAATGTTCCCCATTTTAGAAAAAAGAATATCCTACCTTAATGTGAGCATTGACTCTGAGAACCTTACTTGAGAACACTTGTATTTCTTTTTTGAATGTGTTGACACTGCTGATCTTGTCGATGACATTTTTATTTTGTCCCTGCAGCTCGACATTCAGCTCATTCAGCAGTTCGGTCGAGTCTGTGAGGAAGGCTAAATGCAGAAGCCACTGGTCATCCTCCAATTGGGCATATTCACCATGTTTAGACGCCTTGAGAAACTCTTTGATTTCAGGCAACAGGTCTTTGAACCTCGCCAAAAATGTTTGTTTTGGAAATCTCCAAACAGCAAGTCAGAAGCCTCAACAAACGCTTTTTTATGACTTCTCGATGCCTGAATGGCTTGTGTTCAGCCAGGACGTAGCTCACACGGAGCGGTTGCCGGTTTCCCTCTTGTATTAGGCCTCGTGAAAACCGACTGCTGCTAGTTGAGATTTGAATTTGTCCACTTGTCTTTTCCATAACTTACTTTTATCGCGAAAGTCCACGTCATACGTTGTGTGTGCAGTTTTGAAATGTTGTCCTCTATTTCCTTTTTTTCGCGTAGACGCTGGCATTGCAGATTTAAATACGAAAGTACAAAAAAATAATCACGCTCCCATTCCGGTAAGTCTTTGCTTCATTATTTTCGTTATTTTAACACTACAAGTATCAAATAGGCAATCAAACTGTAGGGAAATTGTCACGGATGCGGGAATTAGCACTTAGCTAGAGTGTTTTAGGAGCAAATATAATTTGGGCCACATGAGTGGCCAGAACTGTCAGCAATACAGCGCCCCCCTGAGGTTTTCCAGTGGGCTGCATCGTCTTAAAAGACTTGTAGCTCCAAGGAGAGCTGATCAGAGCACTCTGCGTGAACTTCCTCATTCTCTCTCGTCACCGGGGGTTCATAGCTGAGCCGAGACACTGAGTGAAAAACATGCCATCGGCTATTCCAAACTAAGTGGATCTGAAGAAAATGCTCTGAATATTTTTAAAATTATTAATGAATATTTTTTAAATTTAGGCGGCTGAATTACTATTTGCAGTCTCATCACATTCAACTAAGAACAGGATGTAATTGATCCAGGACCAGTGTCCAGAATCAAAGCTATAACCAGGAGACTGCATTGTCCGTTGTCAGTGAGTCTCCGTACAGCCTGACCCACAATAATGTCTGCAGATTTAAGGAGTTGAGGTGTGGGAGGCTGTTGTATTCCTCAAACTTCCATCACTCAGCATGATGGGTACAATTTCACATCCGCCTGTCATGCTCATACCTGTTTTTTTCCAAGTGATGTGTACACTGATGCATCTGACTTGCAGAGAGGGAGAGGTGGAACAAGATTAGCTACTGTACATTGTCCTGGAGTGTCAGAATCCTTTCTGGAGGGTAGGCACGCACATTGTGCCTCAGTGCCATATGGTGCAATTCAAACAGGAATACAAGAATAAAACCCAGAGCATTGGGTGCCATCCTGCCTCTTTCATCTTGTGTTGCTGAGAGTGGGGCTGTCCAGTCCTGCTCCAGGAGGACATGTGTTATCTGTGGGCAGATTAGGGCTTTTTAAAACAGCAGCACCTGATAAGCTGGGGAAAGATGCTGCACTGGTTCAGTTAGAACAGAACCGAGGTGGTTTATCTCACTTAGGGCTGAGATGGGACTAGGAGTAAACAGCCCTGACATAGTCCCTTCTCAGCTCCGCCTTTCCCACTCCTGTGTCCAGGTGACCTCTGGGAATCGAGCGATCTGCATGCCGTTTGCAGTGTGTGCAGGTGAAGATGTCAGTGTCCTGGGACAGCTCACTCCTGAGCACAAGCGCTCTGCTGGTCATGTGATCGGCCTGGCACACCTGACCAGCCTTTTCTATTGACATATCAAAGTCTTCAGAAAAAAACTCCAGCATAGGCTTTGAATCTTCTTCCTCTTCATTCAAAATGAAACCTGTTTAATTAATGTGTGCTTTAAAAGTTTGCAGTTTCATATTTTAGTGGCTTTAGTTTTATCTTTAGCAGATGAATAAACTTTGCAGTTTATTCATAAATGTAGGGACAACATTCAGAAGACAAACTCCAAATAAGTAGAAAAAAAGATTTCTACTCCGCGTATTTTAAACATCTTTGTTGTTTTTAGTTACCGTGCCAATAGTAGCAGACGATATACTGTATGTGCCATACATTTTTGTCACATCAGAGTTGCCTATATTAAAAAGAAAATAAAGACAGATGACTTTAACATTGCAACGGTTTCGACAGCACTACACGGGTGATACTAACATTTTTGTGAAAATGTGGTAGGAAAAAATAAAAAGCAGCCTTTATTACTGTTACAAGCAACAATGTAGGCTTGAGTAACCGGGTGGAAAATTGCGGAGATCAATACAAATACTCCCCTCTCTTGGCACCAAGCAATTAACAGGCCTAGCTTCTGTGTTTAGTGCCTCCATCGGAAAGGACCGACCGACATTCACACAAAGCCTCGTTTGTCCTGGGAGCCTCTTTCCCTATCGGAGCATCCAAACCGCACTCTGAACCACCGGGCAGCGCGGATGGGTGATAACTCACGGCCAGCGGCCGGCTGGTGCTGGGTGTGCGGTTAGTGTTTCACCTCTCTGGGGGCGTTGGGACGCGGCGGCGGGGAGGGACCCGACACGAGTGCGGGAGCGAGCAGGGGGGGCAGAGAGCGGCCGGAGAGGGGAGAAGACAGTGTCGCACATCCAAAGTCTGAGAACAGGCGCTTGGCGCAAGTCGCCGGTTTTACGGTGTAGATCATGGGCGACATCAAGACTCACTGCCTAGGGTGGATGTTCCTTCTTCTTACGGTCTCTCTGTCGGTTTCCCAGGGGAGCTCGGTATCAGAGGCGAAAGGAGACAGCGCAAGCCCACCTGTTAGGGGTAAGGCGGAAAAATCGCTGCTTTTGTTAATTTTTCCAGCAGCACTTCACTGTAAACAGCGGGGAAGCGTGAAGCGAGGAGTGATGGGGCTGCGGCTCACTAACGGAGAAAGTTGGAAACTTCGCCTGCTTGTTAAACACGGGGCACCAGTGACGGGATACTGCTCTAATAATCGACTCTCAATTCATTTCTGTTATCGAAACTTGAAAAGCTCTAATTCGTGGGCTATTTAAACTGCATTGCATATTATATGTCTATATGGTTGTATATTTTCGTTGACTCATTAGGTTTTAAGGTTTTAATCACTGATTTATAGATTCATTAATTCAATCCTGGAAAAGTGCTAATGGCAATTCTGCCCTTTGTGGCGAATAAAACAGAGACTCTAACCTTCTCGGACTCTTAACCCTTTCGGTGAATTGTTGTAGAAAAGTTATGTAACAAAAGAAAAACCATCTAACCTACAGCATTCAGTCGAGACTTTTTCAATAAAAACGTAACTTCGCGGCTGCTGCAGTACATCTTGCTATATTTAGTTACTGAATTCAGAAACAAATGAAAACTTTTTACAGGACTTAAACGATAAACACCGTAATGGAAGTCCTTTGTGCCCACAAAAACAAGTCAAGCTTTTGCTACGGTATCTTTCTTGTTCTTTTAATCCCCTGCATTCCGTTTCCATGGAGATCTGTAGGAAGACCTCGGACCCTCCGCGCTGTTGTAACTCTGCGCTCTCCTTCTTGCCAGAGCTCGGAGTTAAGGAGCACTTTCGTATCGTTTCACTGCACAACCGGCTGAGAAGCCGAGTCACCCCAACGGCAGCAAACATGCAGAAAATGGTGCGTGCGTCGCCTTTTGTTATTTATTTACTTGTCTTGTTAGTACAGTACGTTTCAGCTGCTTTCAGTGTTTGAGGACGGACGCGCACTTGGCACATCAATGTGCACGTATCAGCAAAGAGATGAAAGAGTTAGCTGAAAGCTTTTGGTGCCACTGAGCTTTGAAATGACCATCGGCATGTCCGAAGACGTTCAGGTGTCCAGTTCTATGACCAGTTTGTTGTGTTGTCCAATTTCAAATGACGGTTTAATGAGCACAGCTAAGCTGTATGTAAGAGAGCCATATGGATATGAACCAGTTAACACATTTTATGCAGAGTAGCTCTTTCAAAACTATTTTAGAAACCATTTGGGTTCTCTGCTTTAACCCTGTAGTAGCTGAGTTTTGGAGGTGCTACATTTCAGAAGAAACTCCCAGATCAGAGCACCCTGGCTGTGCTGGCAGAGCCTGATACAAGCAAACTAAACCTGTAAAAGAGTGTCATGCTTGTCAGCGTTTTGTCAGGTGTGACGAGATCGTCTTTCGCGGATAGACTGCATGATCCCTGTAGTGATCTGGTGTAGCCAGAGAGCCACTGTGGACCCACAGCAGTGTCACACTGGGCACTTCTGAATGAGAGATCGTGGGTTGCAGGAAAGAGATACCCATATCTGTGGCACAGTCACCAATGAAACTCAAATGCCGAGGATGAAAGTCATTCCAGTTGAGAATTCAGATTTGTTCTGGATTGTTAATATGTGACTAAAACAAACTATTTGCTTGAGGCTATGAGATGGGAATTTAAAGTTGGAAGATGAATGCAGAGTTTGATCCTTTGATACAGTATAAGACACTGCCTAAGCGAATTTTTTTCCCTATGCTGCTGTGCTGATAGAGAGCATGAAAGCAAAGACTTCCGTCTGCCTCCACAACGTCCGTTAGCTGCTGGAAGGGTATGTGTGTGTGGGAGGGCTAGCAGGTGCTTGAAGCACAGCACAAAAACCGCCCTTGTTTTTCCATGGCACCTCTTTGCTTTCAGGCCCTTACTTTGGTATAAAAGCTCAGTATGCATTTCCGCCCGTCCCGAGAGAAGCAGGCTGAATTGACATGCTGCACGTTGCCCTTCAGACAGACATATTTGCAGATTTCTAAAGCACTGTGAATTGAGTGCCAGAACCAGATATAACCCACAGGTGACGCAGGACAGGAAAATAAATGAGGGAACAAGGAGGTAAGTGACTAAAAACCTACCAGTTGCTTTATGTTAAGGGTGGCTGTGACATTCCTATGTAATTTGACTCTGCAATCACAGCCCTATTGGGTGGAAATGTCCAGCCATTCATCCTGTTTGATCCACTTCTCCCGGTTCGGGGTTGCAGGTGAGCCAGTGCCTATCCCAACAAGCAGTGGGTGCCAGGCAGGGCGCACCCTGGGTGGGACGCCAGTCCATCACAGGGCACAAACACACTCTCACACCAGGTGCAGTTTTTTCTCAGAAGCCAATTAACCTACCAGTAGGTGTTTGAATTGTGGGAGGAAACCGGAGCAGCCGGAAAAAACCCATGTGAAGTTGAGGAGACCATACGGACTCCACACAGGATTCGAACCCTGGTTCTCAGCGCTGCAATGCAGCGATCCCCACTGTGCCACCCTGTGTGGGAAAAAAGCCTACTGTATTTCAGTTTTGTGCTGTTGAAAAGGTGGCAGCTCGGAAGAAAGGGAGAGTATCTTAAGCATGTGAAGGGCTTGTTCACACTGAAAACACAGCGGCTTCAACAGAGCTGCCGAGAGCTCAGTGTGAGGTCAATAGAAATGGACTAGGCATGCAAGTGAAAATTCGCACCGTGGACACAATGCCCTTCAGTGCATTAAATGAAAGGCAAGAATGATCACGCCCTAAATGTGGATATATTTTGAATTATTTAATTTGAAAGAATGAAAACAAATCCCTTCTTAGATTTTAATAGGAAGGTAAAATGATGTTTGCAAACCGTACAGCAACGTGAGTACTCAGAAGGTTTCTGTTCCCATGTGTTACATTAAAATACAGTCAATAGTGTTACATACCTGTGATAAATCTGTCCTGTTCTGTAAACACTTTCGATTTACAATACAGAACATATGGTGTAGTGTCATATCAAAACTATTTTGGGCACAGTTCTGCCACCTGTTATAGTGATCCAGGAAAACTACATAACACAGATACCGTGACCTGTACAGTGGAATTCATTGCTATACTGTTGCAGCCATAAAAAAAAATTTTGTATGCCATTTTAATATGCTACATTTCACACTGCAAAAACCACAGCCATTTTCATAAAATATCTGACCCATCATTAAATTTCTTACTGGTTACTGCTTATATAGAAAACATGCTACATTTTACACTTTCATCTTCCTATTGTTTCATTGTTTTTATTCCAATATAGAACATAGAATTTTAGATAATATAATATATAATATATATAATATCTTTGTTCGAAGAATTACACGTTGTATTCCTAAATATTTATTGTTATGCACAGATTTCTAAAAGCAGTCAAGGTGCTCAAGGGGCAGAATTCATCAGGTTATTCTTGAAAACCTTTCCCTGTGGAATTCAGAGCAACTTAAGTGGATTGTTAAGTACTTAGATCAGTTCTAAAATTGCTGCTAAGAATATAAGAAAAGTTACAGAAGAGAGAGGCCCATCTTGCCATTTGGGTCGTTAATAGTTAATAGTTAATTGATCCAAGGATCTCATTCAGCTTTTTTTTGAGTGAAGCCACAACAACATGGCTGGGTACCTTGTTTCATACTCCCACAACTCTTTGGGCAAAGACGTGGCTTCTGTTCAGCGTTTTAATGTAAATTCACTTCCACGTAGTTTCCATTTGTGTTCTCTGACTTGTGCTTCACCGTTCACACTGCTGAGGGCTGTTACTGCTTTGTCAGTGGAACGAGTGAGCAGAAATCCATTTAAAAACCGCATCGTCGTCTGTGCCTGTAGTACAGAGATTACTATGTTAAACCCATTTTAGATGTCTTTCCCCCCATTTCTTTAGAAGTTCTTTACTTCTAACATCTTTGCTTCTTTTTCCTGTATCTTCTTCAGAAAAAAACACTGGAAAGGGAAACAAATCCTATACGTTTCTGACTTAAAGACTGAAAGAAAGAGCTTTTAAATGAAACATCATCTAAGCAGGAACATTCTTGCTGTGTTTTGATTGTGTGGGGTGTAGCGGGTCAGTTTAAGAAAGTGCCTCTCTCCAGCCTGGAGTGTGTGTGGAAGAGGGCTCTCCTGCTGCCCACACTGGGTTTCCCACGGATCGCAGCACGGAAGGCATGTGGGTGTGATGGGGGATCTATGGAAAAGCTCTGATGTCCTGTCAGTTGCTTTGTCTTTTTCACACCCTTTTAGAAAGTCTTTTTACTAACCTGTCATGCTCCATAGAAATGTTCATGCTTCATTAAACTGTTGCTGCATGACGCACCTCTGAGTTCAAGAACTTTAACAGCTGAAAATCCACTACAGGTTTTCTATCTAGTAGTATTTACTTTACATTCAATTTCTATTTTTAATTTAGGACTTCTTGAGAATTAAACTATAATGGGAATGTGGCAGCAGTGGGGGGTCTAAAATCTATCTGTGTTGAGAATGATTCATCGAGACTTTGACCCAATTCAGTCTTATTCCTGGATAAAGGTGGGGAGGATTTTGAACACACAATTCTTAACAGAATATACTGAGTGGATGGAGAGGGGAGGGTTTTTTTAATTACTTGAATATTTTAGATCTTGAATGTTTAACATCTATACAAGATTTAGACCCTGCTTTCTTCGTAGTGAGTAAAACTTTCATAGTTTTACTGCTGGCTGTAAAACATTCAACACTAAAACTATGCAATCAAAGCTCTGTTTTGAAAACTGAGGTACATAAATCCTTTGGCACTGGGATGTGTTCTGACACATGCAACATTCAGCACAACCTTACCTGATGTCTTTTACCATAAAATACTTGAATGGAAGAACTGTTGATTTGTGCACAGTGATTTTTATTTAATAAAGTTTGGTTGCATGTTATCAATGAAATCAAACTTTGCAACACTGCATGTATTTTAAAGTGCATGGAAGAACCATATTTGAAATGTGATATTCTGACATCTGAACTTGAAATGATAAAAAAATATATATTAAGATAATACAGTATAACTGCTATTTCTCCTCCTAATATGGGATTGGAAGGGAAAACATCTTGCATTCAGCATTTCTAGTGTATATTAAAAAATATGTGCATCCATATAAAACTCATGTTCATTTTCCTTGTCACACAAAGGAGTTCCACACAAGACTGGGTTAATATTTTATTTCAGACTTTCCTGTGCTTCCTTATAGACAGTGCCATTTATCAGAGCCCTCCAGACACACAGGCCCAGCTGAGTGTGTCTGCTTCTGTTAGGAATGATTAACAAGTTAATGGGCCTCTACCGACTAAAGGTGCTTTTATATGAGCAAGGTTTCTCTTTTCCTGCACAGTAATTAACCGCTTAAAGACCAAGTCCTTTTATTGGAATCTAAAACAAAGTGAGTGAGGGAATCGGGAGAAAACACTCTAGGAAATTCTTAAGTAAGACTATAAAGTTAGTTTTGGATAATGTGTATCAGATCACGTTTCTTCAGAGCCACAGTGTATGTCTGGTTTTGCTCTCTGTGATAAAGCGCATCACAAGAAGTGCTTAATTCCCAACACATTTTAAGGCTTCCTTAAGGAGCAGTTTACAGTGGTCTGAACAACATTGACTAAGAAGGGCCTTCATATAAGGACAATATGATATATGTTTTATTGTTTTGTGATTTCATGCATACATTTGATCATAATAGAGCAAAACCACTGTGCTCTACACAGTGTTTTCAAGTGACCATAAATATTGTGACACATTCGTACACATAAGTACATTGAAGTACAGTCTGTATTTGCTTGCATATTCTTTTGAGGCAATACCTGCATGTGAGCCATGACTCGCTGAGCTCAACAAGCATTTTGTGTGATCATTTTGGATACTCTGCTGCAGCCACTTCGCTTCTTGCCTGTTCCTGGGGTGTTCTGACTTGTTCCATACATGTATTATTGGATTTACATCTGGCCATTGACTTGGCCAGCCTGGGGTTTTCCACTCTTTTCTCCTTGCTGTCACACTGTATGGTAAAGCACCTCTCAATTGGTATGGAATCATGTTCCTCTCAACAGTGTAGTGGAGAGCATTGCTGCCCACAGGAAAACTGGCCCTGGTGTGAGTGTGTGTGTGTCTGTGTCTGTGTGACTGGCGTCTAGTCCAGGGTGTACCTTGCCTTGCGCCTGCTGCTTGCTGGGATAGACTTTGGCTCCTCCGCGACTCTGAATTAGATATAGCCGTTAAAAATTGATGGATGGATGGATGGATGGTCCTCTAAACCTCACAATTAATCCTGATATGATCAAATTTATGCTTGGAATTCCCCTAAAGTAAAACACATGATATATTAATCCCATGATCATAAATAAGAATTGTCTGCCTGTAAAAGTAGTACATTTTGACTGTGTTCTAATACTCAAGGAGGGCACTGTATGTGCAACGACCTGTGTTGCATTGATATTTTTACATTTTTAACTCAGATAGTCAGAGGAGTAGACAATCTAAACAGAAATGCAGAGAGATAACTGTGCAGAACAAGGTGTAATAGGATACTTTCATGAGATTAAAAAATGTTGTTGATAGAAGATGCTTCTTTGAGGCACTGAAGAGCTGAGAAAGGATTCCTGAAAAATGTCAGAGGTCCTAAGCATGTCCTCTGGGAAGGAGATGATGACAGCATACCCATAGTTCTGGTTTCTGTGTGTGGGAGTCAGATTATGTGCATGACTGTCCCTGCTCTCTGGCAGAGTCCTTTGCCTCTCCAGCTGTCTGTCGACTCCCATTTTATAAAATGGGAAACCTTTCAGGAAACTATATCTTCTGCAAAGCTCTTCATGTTGACCTGGAACCCAGTGGCATGAGTTAATACACAGAGTGCCGCCTCACACTGAGTCTAAGACACCAGGCTGAAACACTTCGGCAGTTTGTCATTTAACTTGGCCATCGGCACACTGACGTAGCTCTGGTGAGCAGTTCTGACAAACTGAAGCCTTCTTCCGTCATTTTGAGAATAAATGCTCTATATTTTTTTCACATTGGAGCAGATGCACACTTACCATTATAATGCAGAAAAACAGTTTTTCTGCATTATGTCAGTTTCAGTTTTTCTGACACTGTGATACTGAGGCACTTTTCCAGTGCAGTCATTATATCGTCCGAGGTATTCCCTGTCTGCACAGCCAAGATTGTCATCTGTGCACGGCTGGTGTTTAAGAAGGTTCTGCCCAGGACCTGGAGTATAATTGAGTTCCTGGATCTAGCAGCTTGCAGCCTGGGCTGTTGATATTGTAAAAGCTCGCCCTGGCACAGTTTGATGGTGGGCTATTTCACCCCTTGGCTGACCCGATTTAAAAGCACTTTCCTCTGTGCTTCTCTACAGTTGTTTTGAAAACAGATGGGTTTTGTGTTGTGACCTTGAAACAGTTGAGGAGAGGGAATTTCTCTCAGCTGTTTATGCATTCCTGCCTGCGTGTCCTCATTATCACATCCAAAGAGCAAAAAACAAAGCCTCCTTCATCTTAGTCAGGAAAGGACAATCAGCCGTATCTAAAAAATGTACAGGTTACCAAGATCTGCATCTTCAGATCATTTAAAATTGCATGAGAAATGAATTTTCATTTATGCTACTTATGCAATTGATGCAACTTGCACTTCAATAAGCGTAGGCTCCAAAGCATAAATTACATTTCATCACTTCATTAGCAAAAAGACTGCATTTTGCTGAAAAAAGGAGAAAGACACAGCCATCAGGTTTTGTCAAAGAGGCTTCCTTGGCAGTTGATCGACACAGATAGTAATGGTGGCAATTTATCATTCATCTTAATTGACAAAACATCACATTGCAGCAGCTGCCATGTAATGCAGTGGTCATGAAGGGGTCCAGTGTGGGAGAAGTCTGCATCTTCATGTTTTCTGAAGCGCCTCCTTCAGAATCTCGCGGTTCTTGTCAGACTGGGTGTTAATTGAAGGTCTGTTCTGCAGATTGACGCCGGAGTCTTGCTAGGTTCTCCCGAGAGCCAGACTTGCAGTGCGCTTTGTCTGACTGTGTTCCCATTGAGCAGCTGCTGAGGCCTGAGAATCTCCCACTTGGCAAAGACTGTGGATTCCCAGCACTCCAAGCTGCTAACAGCTGACCCTGCAGCCTGTCGGCTGGCTAACCCCTCTTTTCTCACCTCCAAGTTAGGGACTGAAATCAAAAATAAGTTAACGAGATGTTGAAAGGCTGGGAAATACACACTTGGTTTACGCTCCTCCTCATTACCTTGGAAGATGGTGAAACACATGGAGGTGTTTACATTCCCAGATCAGATCTCCTTCAGGGGGTGGAATCAGAGCTCCATTCCCCTGGGAGCTTCACGGGGCTTTGTTACCTCATCAGCCAGGTATTCTGTAATCTAAGACAGGCTGTTCGCTGGAGTTTTATTTACAATGTATTTGATCTGGTTTAATTAACACATGGTCAAAAGGCCTAGGGGCTGAAGGTGTTTACATTATTCCAACATTTTCTGTTGGAAAGCTGATGGATTAGGAAACTAGTTTGGCAATAGATTTTTCTCTGGAATGCCGATACTGAAATGTTAAAAGACAGTTTTCCCCTTTCCATTTTCAAGAGGTATAAAAAAGTATCTGAGCGGTAGGTTGGTCTGTACTGCTTGTTTCCCAGGAGTGGAGCGAGAAGCTGGCAGTCTTAGCGCAGGACAGGGCTGCCTCCTGCCCCGAGGACTCCGCCCTGGAGGGGGAACACTCTGACCACATGGGCTGGAATATCCATGACTCCGCCTCCGGCTCCACCTCCTTTTCTGATGTCATTGGCCTCTGGTTCCAGGAGGGACAGGACTACAACTACCTGAGTGGCCAATGTGGAGTGAACAGAACGTGTCACCACTACACACAGGTGAGCATGCCAGATGTGATTGCCCTCGTCTTACTGAACTTCAAAACCTCCAACACTGAATATGGATTTCTGTCATAGCCTTCTGTATTGCCAAACATACAATATGTATTATCCTTTTTCAGGCTCTAAATTTTTTAAAGTCATCCTGTATTTATTTCAGCTTTTGAACTTGGAGAACGAATTGGAGTACCTATCTGGGCAAATGTCATATACAGTTCCAGCAATAAAGCCTGTGCTATATTCATGATTTCATTTTGTGATCACAGTGGCCACACATTATCAACTTTTCTTCCATTAAGTAATTTTGCAAATATAGCCTTGAAAAAGCACGATATTTTAAAGATCAAATTGGCGAGAATTAAAAACATAAACTTGAAAATTAACCTTGAAGTTGCAGGTTTTGGAAAAGGAGGTTTTGTGTTACTGGAATAAAGCATTGCCAAAATGAAATGTTTTTAGATTTAAAGAAAAAAGTTTGCTCGTGCTTAGTTGCACTATTTCACATGTCTCTGTGGCATTAGTCTTCAGTAAAAGGTTATGATCTGTCTGTCCCCCTCTACTCTCTGTGTTGTAGATGGTGTGGGCCACCTCCAGCCGAGTGGGGTGTGCGCAGGATGTCTGTCAGAGAGCTGGGCTACAGAGAGAGCTGTTCGTTTGTGCCTATTCACCTGGGTGAGTCTGCTGCAGCACGCAGTGTCAGTACTCTCTCCCTCTGGTCTGGAGCATGCACAAATACAGCCTGGCACACATGGTTAAATCTACACTGATGGGCGAGAGATGAAGTGCTCATTAGCTTTACAGATTACAGATGTCTCGGAGGGCCTGGGAATAAGATTTGCATGGTCTGAAGGAACCCTTTCAGTGGGTTTTGTTCCGGCGACTCTGTACAGAAAATGTGCAGTTCATCTGAACTCCAAACGCAACTGACTGCTGTGAATGACAACTATGAGCCATGATTTATTGTTCTCCTGTATTTCTGTATATGGACAGTATCTAAATTGGTCCATGTCTTTGCATTTGCCTGAGCATATCCAGTATGTCTCCAGTGTTCTCAATTATCAACACCATAAGGGATAAAAAGTTTAAATTACTCAGGTTATTTTTCACATTTGCATTATGGCATTAAGGGTATTACAAATGCTGTTGGATCCAACTTCCTGGTTTACTCTAGTGTGCCATTTTTCAGCTTTGGTCAACCTTAATTGACCTTGACTTTTTCTGCTTTATACAACCAGGTGTATACAGTACAATGTCATAAGGTCTACAGGTCTACAAAGACCAGTTCCACTGAGCATTTAACAAATAATAGAGACGGATTTAATATGAAAAAAGCCATGTGAAATAGTTAAGCTTTATCATGACTTCAAAACTTGGCCAAAGCAAAGTGATATTTCATTTACTGAACGTGACACTGTGGTTTTGTGTTCTGCTTCTGTAAATAGTTATATGTCAAAAAGCAGCAAGACTATGTGCTCTGCGTGGCTCATGTAATAAGGTGCTCCAAGTGTGGGTTGTGTCGTATGATCCAGGTGTCCTGGTTTGAGGCTGGGTCATGTACTAGCCTACTGTGACTGGGATTCTCCAAGTGGCAGCGCACATTTTGATCAGTGGCTCCAGGAGCAGGGCTGCGATCAATCAGTTAGATCTCCTCCTGTCTGCCTGCAACATGTTGGGTACCTGCAGGCTCACAGTGTCATTGCAGAACACGTTTCTCTGCCTGTCCATTGCTGCTGAGCTTGTAACGTGTGAAGGAGCCTATCTTATCTTTCTTGCTCTCCTCATATGGGTTACAGCTGTCATTGCTGAGAACGGAGACGTAAACAACTGGTGATATTCCAGATTGGTTGAGTAATAAATAGAAAAAAAGATGTTAAAAAGAAGCAGGTGTACCCATCTGTACCATGTTGTGTTGTTTTTTTTCTGTCCAGGGGGAACTGGAAAGTGAATGGCAGGCTGGTGGTGCCCTACAAGACGGGGGCGTACTGCACCCTCTGCACATCTGCCATGTCCGGCTGCTTCCGGCTGTGGAGCCACGTGGGCGGATTGTGCGGTGAGAGCCTCCCCTTAATCCTGGGGTACCCCAATACCATATATTCCGATACGGATTCACATTTTGTTTCTCAAACACCTGCTGGATTTGGAAACACCAATCCCCGCGCCTGAGCAGAGGTGAGGATGAGATACACAGATGTGGTCCTGAGGGGTCATTCATCACTTGACGCCCGTTCTGCATCTCAGGAGGTCACCTTCCTCACTGAGGTGGCTCCAGGCTTGCAGGTGCTCAGCAAGTCCCACATTTGTCACAAGCCCAGGAGAGCCGATGGATCCCCTCCCTCACCTGACAGCAAGCTGTGCACAGGAGCCAGGGGAATCCCAGTCACAGTCAGCTAGTGCCATGAACCAGGCTCGAACCCATGACTGTGCAGCTGAGCCTGCACGTGGTGTGGGCCTTCAGCAGTTGAGGACGGCTAACCTCGGGTGGCTAATCTCTCCTCAGCCTTGGCGACGCTTAGAAATTGCACTCTGCTGCTGGAGGAATCCCAGTCACAGTCAGCTAGCGACGTGCCCCAGGCCTGAACCCGGGATGCCCAAAGCAGCGAACTCGACCCGCGCTGCAAGCAAACATCTTCCTGAAGCGATGCTTTCCTAAACCGAATCTTCCTCCCACTGCAGAGACCCCCCGGAACCCTTGCCGGATGAGCTGCGGGCTGCACGGGCGCCTGAACGTCTCCACCTGCCAGTGCCAGTGTGCTCCCGGCTTCACCGGCCGCTTCTGCCAGGGTGAGAGCCAGCCGGC